GACCTGCACAGACTCACCCCCAAGTGGCCACCGCACCTGGCCACCGATGCTTCCTGTCTGAATGATGAGCCCGATGGGGACAAATAGCAAGTCTAATTTTATCCGCGTGTACTAGGGTGCATGACAGAGAAACCTTCTCTTCCTTGTCTGTTTATCCACCCTTTAATTGATCTGAGCACGAACTCCAGGGTCCCTTTTTCTTTTTGTCCGGTCCTGGGGATTGAACCCAGGGGCACTCTAACACCGAGCCACATCCCCAGCCCTATCTACAGTATTTGTTTATTTACTTTTACAGTCCCGGGGCTTGAACTCAGGGCTTTTGCACGGAGCTATGCCCCTAGCCCTTATTTTCTTTTTTAATTTTGAGACACACTGTTGCTAAATTGTCAAGTTGTCCGGCCTACCGGCCTGGGCTTGAACTTGTGTGACTCTCCTGCCTCGGTCTCTCAGAGTACTGGGATTCCAAGTGCGCACCGCCACGCCCAGCTTGCATCCTATGGTTCTTATATTTGTTAATTTTCTCATTCCCCTTGTGTGCAGAAATCTGAACGAACTGCCTCTGGCTGCCTTAGACACCTTCCTTAGCGACACCGGCCCCAGCCAGGCTGTGCCCGGCTTGTGCCTGCGACCTCTACACGGGGAACACACAGGTCCCTTCTCCACGGTGAGAGCTCTGTGGCCGGGCAAATTTATTCAGGGTGAGGGCGTTATGTTCGCAGTGCTACGGAGTGCAGTGTAGCCGAGGGGTCTTCTCTGGTGTGGAGCAAGGGTCAGTCTAGCTTTAGTATCTCTCATGGGTCGGGGAGTTTTTTTTTTTACCCTCTGCAACAACGTGGGGACTGTGTTTGGTTAGAACATTCCTGGGGAGTCACGGGGTCCTGGGGAGTCTGCAACCGATGTTAAACCCCGGGCCACTGCAAGGCTGGGGCACCCTGCAGTCCTCGAGTGAATTTGGTAGGCCGTGTTTTCCCAGAAGACTGTCGGTTTCTCCTAAGTGTTCAAATTTACTGGGATAAAACAACTTCAAAGTGTTCTTTTATTTTTTTTAAACAGCTACGATATCTGTAGTGTGTCTCTTTTTATTCCAAAAATTTATATGCAGTCTTCCCCACCCCTCTGTAAGTAGCATCATCAGAATTTTATCTGTTCGTCCTTATTTTTGAAAAAGACAACCTTAAAAAAAAGAAAAAAAAAAAAAAAGAAAAAGACAACCTTGGTTTTGTTGATACTCTGAGTTGATTCTAATCAGGCCCTGCCACTATTTTTGTCTTTCTCTCCCATTTTTTCTGGGTTTATTCTGGTGCTCTTTTGTAACTCGTTGAGTTGGGCATGTAGCTATTTCTTCCTACACACACACAGACACACACACACTCACACAGTTTTTTTTTTTTTTTTTTTGGTTTTGGTTTTGGTTTTTTTCCGGTACCAGGAATCAAACTCATGACCTTGCTCTTGCCAGGCAGGCGCTTGTGCCGCTGAGCTAAATCTCCAGCCCCTCAAACACATTTTTTTTTTTTTGGTACCGGGAACTGAACTCAGGACCTTGCTGTTGCCAGGCAGGCGCTTGTGCCGCTGAACTATATCCCCAGCCCACACTCACACACATAATACACTCTATAGGTACTATTTGAGTGACTCTCGTTACTGAGGCAGGGTTTTCATCACTGCTAGGCCCTAACCATTTTCACATCTAGGTTATGATTTCCTCTTTAGTTTTTTTATTAGTCCACGCCAGCAGGACATCGTGCTGACCCTCCGTGTGTGGAACACCTTGCACACAGCACGTCCTCATTCCTTTTTTATCTGTTCTGCCTCCCCCTCCTCCATCTCTTGCTCCCCTTCCCATTCGAGGAAGATCTGTCTTTCTACTTCCTGTTACCTCTCTTTATTTAGCTCTTCATTTACAGCTGGGGTTAAACAGCCTATTGTATCTAAGCTAGTGTGTCAGATTTATTTCACTTAACATTATGGTCTCAAGGTGCATCCACTTCCTACAAATAACTCAAGTTATCTTTATGGCAGAGTAGTACTCCACTGTATTATATGTTCTGCATCCATTCATCTGTGGTTGGTCATATAAGCTGCTTTCTAGGCCTAGCTACTATGAACTGTGTTTCTTTAAACATAGGTATATGTGGGTCACTATAATGTGAAGTCTTTAAGTTTTTGGAGAAGATATCTAGAAGCAGAATAGCTGGGTCAAATGGAATTTCTACTTTTAGTTTTCTGAGGGCACTCCATGCTGATCTCCATAGTTGTACTAATTCACGTTCCCACTAACAACCTCACCAGAGTTTGCTATTATTTGAAACATGAACTATTTAGATTTAAATTTCCAAACATGTAGAGTATTTCTGTTTTCTTTATATGGCTTTATATACATATATAATGAAGTTTGAATTACAAGGACAAAGTGAATAATATGTTTTTCTGGCAAAACTCAGTTATAAATTTTTTTTTCCGGTACTGGGAATCGAACTCACAACCTTGTGCTTGCCAGGCAGGCACTGTGCCGCTGACCTAAATCCCCCGCCCCCCCATTTTTTTTTTTAAATTTACCAGAAGCACTGAATCTGTTGGAAGATAAAATAGGTAAAACCCTTTATTTTTGTTTTGTTTTGCTTTTTGTCTTTTTGAGACAAGGTCTTGCTATGCAGTTCAGGCTGGCCTTGAGCTCACTTTGTAACCCAGGGTGGTCTCAAACTCAACAATCCTCCTGCCTCAGCCTCCTGAGTGCTGAAATTACAGGTGTAGGCTACCCTGCCATATTTTTTCTTTTTTTTTTCTTTTTTTACAGAATTGAAGCTCTTAAAGACATAAGCAAGAACTTTCTGAACAAGAAATAACATCAAGGGGCTGGGGAACTGGCTCAGCGGCACAGTGCCTGCCTGGAAAGCACAAGGTTGTGAGTTCAATTCCTGGTACTGGAAAAAAACAAAAAAGAAAAAAAACAAACAGAAAAGAAATAACATCAAGAAACAATAAGTAGGATCATATCCAATTAAAAAGTTTCTGCACACCAAAGGAAACAAGCAACAGAGTGAACATACAACCTACAGAATGGGGGAAAAATGGCCAGCTATTCCTTGGACAGAGGACTCATACCTAGAATATATAAAGAACTAAAAAAAATTTAGATCCCCCCAAAATAAAGGGCCCAATCAAAAAAATGGGCAGCAGAAATGAATAGATGCTTCTCAGAAGTCCAAATGGCCAATAAACACATGAAAATATGTTCAACATTGCTGGCCATTAGAGAAATGCAAATTAAAGCAACACCAAGATTCCATCTCACTCCAGAAAGAATGACTGTCATCAAGAATAATAACACATGCTGGCGAGGCTGTAGGGAAAAAGGAACCCTGGTAAATTGTTGGTGGGAATGTAAACTAGTAGAACTACGGATATCAGTATGGAGCTTGCTCAAAAAACTAAAACTAGAAATTCCACGGGTCCCAGCTATTCCCCTTCTAGGTGTCTGCCCCAAAGAGCTGACCACACTGTATTACAGTGATCCAGGCACACCCATGTGTATAGCAACACACTTTATTGTAGCTAAATCTTGGGATCAGCCTGTACGTCTATCAACAGATGAACGGATAAAGAGGTTGTGGTATTTATACGGGGACCACTCTGCCATAAAGAAAGATAAACTGAATTATTTGCGGGAATATGCCTGTACCTTGAGGTCATAGTGTCAAGTGAAATAAATCAGGCACAAAATTTAAAATTTGCATGGTTTCCCTTAGCGTGTGAGAAAACCAAAGTATAAAGAGCAAAATAAAAGACAGCTAATAAACCGGGCGTGGTGGTGCATGCCTGTAATCCCAGCACTTGGGAGGCTGAGGCAGGAGGATCACTGTGAGTCTGAGGCCAGCCTGGGCTACATAGTGAGTTCAAGTCCAGCCTGCACGGCATAGTGAGCTACATAGTGAGATTCTGCCTCCCCCACACACACCAAAAAAAGAGAGAATAGGAGACAGGATTTTTGCTAATGGCAGGGTGGGTGGGGGAATGGACCATGAAGATGATATCACACCCACCAGCTCCCGTGAGGAACACGATCCTCAAAGCAGTGCCATGTACTTATGTGAAATAAACATGGAAAACGGGGTTTACAGCCAAACAGACACTATCACCGTGGGTGTCCTTCGGCTCAGAGTTTGTGGGGTGTCCCTGTTAGGGCTCGGACGCCCAGGCTCCCCAGAAATCTTCACTGGGACTTGAGAGGCCGGGAGAGCCCCAGCCTCGAGCCACTGTGGGACCCAGGATAACCACAGGATCCCGAGAACCTCGGGATGCGGGGACTAGGAAGAAAGCACCCCCGCTCATGCCCGTGGGAGCCCTTCCTGGCTGCAGGCCCGGTCACACCCCGGGCTCGGCGAGAGGCGCTCAGGCGGAGGCACTGCAGCAGCTCCCAGCGGGGCTGCCTGGGCCCTGCAGGGAGAGGCCTCTGCGGTTCCGTCTGGCCTCGGTGGGCGGAGGGTCACCCCGGCCCGTCCCTGCGAGTGGAGTCCGGCAGGGTGCAGCCGGCCCCGCCCTCCGCCCGACTCTCCTGGACGCCGGCTCTGAGCGCAAAGGTAGGTGTCGCCACCGCCACTCGGGGCCGGGGTATTTCCAGCAAGGGATGCCCCGACTCTCTTCCCACGGGCGTGTGCGTGTGCGTGCGTGTGTGATGGGTTCGCTGCCCACCTGGTCCTTAAAGCAGGGTGGGTGCGGAGCAACTGTGGGACGGGAGGAGGAGCAACCTCGATCCGAGCTCAGACTCTGCTCCCAGGCCCGAGCCAGGAGCCCAGGCGGCCATTTTGGATCCTTTGTTTCGTTTTTTTTTTCAAAAAGCAACCAGGAGCTGGGTGTGGTGGCGCACGCCTGTAATCCCAGCATTTGGGAGGCTGAGGCAGGAGGATCGCCGTGAGTTTGAGACCAACCTGGGCTACAAAGTGAGTCCCAGGCCAGCCTAAACTAGTATAAAACAAAAGCGAGGAAAATAGTTCCTTTATTGTGGGCGACAGAAGGTCCAAGTGTTCCCAGAGCCCTCACCCGTCACACTTTCTCGTTCTTAATCCTCCAGAAGCGCTCAGAGTCCCCAAGACAGCAGCGCGTTGGCGGCAGTGAACCCGGGCTCTGCACCGGAGTGGAACTGGATCCGTGCTGGATTCAGCTCTCCCTTCCCACACGCACACCGTCCCTCCAAGCTGGTTTCCTCCCCTTCGAAATGGGAATAAACTCATTTGCAAGACTGCTGGAAAGATTAGATAACAAGGTTATAAACTGCATATTTTCCCAGACCCTCTATAAAATGAGCTCTCCGCAGAATTAGACGAAGGGCCGTGACCTCAGACACACACAGTTTCTCAGCTGCTCGGCAGTTCCCGACAATTGCCGAGTGGCCCGCGGCAAGGCCTCCGTATCCATCCCACTTTCCTTTTCTGCAAAGCTCCGGAGTGTTGGGCAAGATCTTCGCTAAATGCCTGACATTCTGCACACCTGAGACATGCCTCGGAGCACCCGGCCCTGCTCACGGGACCTCTTCATCATCGGCAGGAAGGAGGAACTCGCGGAGGGGCCGTGACTTGTGGCTCACTGGCCTCATTCCTGAGGCCCCTCCTGGTTCCCCCGGGACCGGCCACCTCCACAGCCCCGCGCTCGCCCCCGCCGGGGCCCTGAGCTGAGCCCGCGGCTCTGCGCAGAACTCAGGCGCCCCAAGCCCTGAATTCTACATCAGACCCCAGAGAAGGCTTGGCTTCTGCTTGCTCCTCTCTCCAGGCCTGTTTCTTCCTCCACACAGTAAGCTCAGGGCCTGGGGATGTAGCTCGGGTAGAGCACTTGCCCTGCGCGCAGGAGGCCCTGGGTTTGATCCCCTGCACTGCAAAAATAAGTCAGGTCAGACTTAAAGATGGCCCAGCTCTTTACAGTGCTAGACGCCCAAACATTCGGACATCTTGCTCTCCTGTCTTGGGGCAGATTGGAGAAAAAGGCCCCACGGCCCGCTCAGGAAGGTAACACCCACGCGCCACACACAGGGGAGCCACGGGGCGCTGTGACAGCCTCTGCGTCCTTCCTCCTCCCGACTTCCACCTGGGGAGCGGGAGTGTTGTCGTCCCCGTGATCCAGAGGAGGAACCTGAATCTTCCTTGGTTACCCAGCTGGGAAGTGTGAAGTCAGGGCTTGGACTCGGGCTTCAGACCTGGGGATCTCGGGAGAAGACCCCCTAGGACCCAAACCCTGCTTGCCTAGTGCACCAATCTCTGGAGACCAAGCCGGGCATCACACAGTCCCAGGGACTGACCACTAGATGGCGAGCTGACTCCGGTGTCCGCTGCTGGGCCTTGCCATTGGGGGAGGGGGTCCACGGGGTCACAAACAAGGCTTGGTATTTCAGGCCAGCGTCTCCCTTCTGTCTCCTGGCTTGAACCTGATTGTGTAGAAATTTGCAATGCTAATGAGAGAAGAAAGGGAAGGAAAGAAGGAAGGAAGGAGGAAGGAAGAAATGGGGAAGAGAAAAAGAATCTAATTAGGCGCTGTCAGTCTCTTCTTACTGTACTGAGAATAAAATTGACCAGGCCAGGGATGACCTGACCCTGGCCCCCTCTCCACTAATGTTTTTGGTTTTTTTGGTACTGGGAATTGAACTCAGGATCTTGCGCTTGCCAGGCAGGCGCTTATGCCACTGATATATATCCCCGGCCCCACTGCTTTTGTTTCTTTGTTTTGAGACAGGGTCTTGCTGTGTAGTTCAGGCTGGTCTTAATCTCATGAGATCCTCCTGCCTCAGCCTCCTGAGTGTTGCGATTATGGGCATGAGCCACCACACCTGTCTCCTGTGCCTTTTCATTTTGGGGTTGCTGCTGCGGCTGAGCAGTGACCGCGGGCCCTTCGGATCTCTTGGGAGTGTGGGCTGCAGGGCTGCAGGGGCCCTCCCACCCCCGGGGTCGGCTGTTCTGAGAGGGGAGCAGGCCTGGCTCCTAGTGCTGAGGAAATGACACACCTGTCGGGGCCAGGATGTGGCTCAGTGGAAGAGAATGTGCTCATCACAGATAAGACCCTAGGTTGGGTCGCTAGCGCCAGCGAACAAACAAACACACAAAACACTGGAGGTGAACAGCGGGAAACCCGGAAGTCCGGTTTGCAAGGGGCTTCGCCTGCACATCTGCTCGTCCACCCTGGTGCGTCCACTCCCCAGGATCTGCCGAACTCTGGGGACGAGATTCACGCTTAGGCAGAGTCAGATCAAACAGGCGGTGTCACCCTCCAGCTCTGTCGCTTCCTCCAAGCGCCCAACTTCCAAACTGCAGCTGCAAAACAGACACAAAATAAAATCACCTTGGGATGGGCTTAAAACTCCAGCAGTGTGGAGTTATTTTCTCCCCCTGGTACTAGGGCTCAAACCTGGGGGGCACTCAGCTACATTCCAGCCCTTATTTTATTTATTTGTGAATTTTTATTTTGAGACAGTCTCATGGAGTTTCCCTTGAGCTTGTGACCCTCCTGCCTCAGCCTCCCACATAAATGGAATGGCAGGCCTGCACCACTGTGCCTGACTTGTTACGATCAGATCTATGAAAGGCAGAAATTACTTTCCTAATCTGTCATGGGAATGATTGCTCACCCAGGCTGGGGTGGTAACTCAGTTCCCATGAAGCCCAGGGAAGTATTTTCTTAGTGAGCGCAGTATCTGTTTTATGAATTTCTGCTTCCATTTCACTTTCCCATAATTGGTTATGCTTACCTGCTACCTTAACGTCATCTCTGCTAACCAATAACAGAGGAGGCCGGGAAAGGACGTTTCTGTCACACAGGTGCGGCTTCCCGGCCCTCCTCAGGGAGCCAGAAGCTGCTGTGTGTGGTCTGATTGGTTTTGAGGATGAACCAGGAAGGCTGCCTGGAGGAAGTGGCCTTAAAGCCAGGCAAGGCCGAGGGATGAAGGATGAGGAGGAGGAGAGTGCAGGGAGGGGGAGCAGCATGCGAGAGCCTGGGAAGGAGCCTGGACCGAGCGTGAGCAGCTCACTCCAAGGGCCCCAGGGAGCCGCGGGGGCTGGGACAGGGACAGGCCGGGTCCGTGCGCACTGCAGGCGGGCGCCACGGGCCGCTCTGCGGGAAGGGACGTCACAGTGTGCAGGCGGGAGGCGTGGTGGCCTCCCTGCCACCCCGTGAGGACGAGCACCGCGAGGCGGGAGGGCAGCTGGCTCGGGCCTGGCGCTGGTGTGGGTGGGACGGGGCCTGCGGAGGAGGACAGAGGAGAGGCGCTGTGGGCAATGGGCCGAGGGCGGAGGGGACGGCGGGGCCGGGAAGGCAGCTGGGCAGCGAGGCCGGATTCCCGACAGGGCCGCCAGGCGGCAGCGTGGGCAGAGACCCAGCCTCGGAGCTCGGCCTGGGGTGCAGAGCAGAGGGTCCCGGCACGCAGTGCCAAGGCGGCCTTTGGAGGACGGGAAGGAGGGAGGCGGGACAGGCAGACGCCGCGGCGGGCACAGAAAACCGATGGCAGTCACGGCGAGGTCACGAGCCCAGCCTGACGCGGAGGGCGTGGCGGCGCCGGGGCGCTGCCCAGCGCGGTGCCGCTGGGGACTGTGACAGGGTGACTGTGGGCTGAGAGGGGCGGAGAGTGGGCGGGAAGGCAGGAGGGGAGAGGGGCAGACCCGACGGCGGGCCGGTGTGCAGGGAGGGCGGACGCAGCTCCGTGCTCCGCGACTGTCTGGCCCGGGCGGGTGGGGTGCGCCGAGGAGGGACGGCTGGCTGGCTTCGGGAGAAGCGGATCCTCGCGTCCTGCGTGGCCTATGCAAAAGCAGGTGGCGCGCTCCCTCCACAAAGCCATAGAAGCGAAGGGGCCGGGCCGGGAGGAGCAGGCCGGGTGCCATCTGAGCTCTGCGGCCTCTGGCACCGGATTGGGGAGCACTCTCTCGGCAGGAGGCCGCGTGTCTCTGGAGTCCAAAGAGGTGGGTCGGGGCTGGGGATTTAGCTCAGCGGCACAGCTCCTGCCTGGCAAGCACGAGGTCGTGAGTTCAATTCCCGGTACTGGAAAAACAAAGCAAAACCAAAGAGGTGGGTCGATTTTGCGCTGGAATGAGACCCTGCCCATGGCCTGTGCCATGCTGGTCGGCTCAGCCCTCTTCCCTGCAGAGGTGGCACCAGGGCCCCACCCGGCTGGAGGAAGCCCGAAGAAGCCCTGGAGACCCCACCTTACCAAGGGAGTTGTTCAGTCTCTGCGGAGAGGACAAAGGGCCGTGATCCCCCCTTAATCCTGCCGCTGTCAGGGCTGTCAGGGCGAGCGGCCACCTGCCTTGCTGACTCAGTTACCTAAGAAAAGGACCAGTTGATTTTGTTTGAGGAAGGAGGTGAGGGAGAGGAGGGGAGGAGGAGCAAGGGAGGGCATCCTCAGTGCTGGGCACTGGCTGGGGAGGAGAGGGCCACGTCCTGGCCACCCACACAGCCCAGGCCTGCAGCAGACCAGGGATGCGAAGCTGGAGACGCAGTCTGGAGTCCCAGTGACAGCGGGTCCAGAGCTTCGCTGCCTGCCGCAGCCCTGAGCCACCCGGACCGCCGCACCTCCCTCTGCTGAGCAGATCCGGCCAGCGCTCTAGGTGTCCGGCAACGCCAGAACCACACTTGTGAGTGCAGGCCAAGAAAAGTACTGCAAGTGCGCCACTGCGTTTGGTGCGGTTACAGTTGGGAAGTTACTTCCCTGATGCCTCAGAGTCAAGCTGGTATGGGTGGGAAGTGCCCCGGTGTTTCGTGTGTTGGAAAATGAATCCTCTGGCAAGGAGTTAACAGTGCTTGCTGTGGGGCCTTGGGGAGCCATTGAGGGTTAGATGAGGTCGTGAGAGTAGGGCTCCTAGGATGGTATTTGTGGCTTTTTTTCTTTTTGGCAGCACCCAGGGTATCACACATACCGAGCAAACACTCTAGCACAGAGCTGCATCCCCCAGCCCTTCTTGTAAAATTGTGTTCTGAGGTGGCCTTGTGAAGTTGCCCAGGCTGGGCTCATACTTGGGATTGTTCTGCCTCAGCCTCCCAAGTAGCTGGGATTAGAGGGCTGTGCCACCACAACCTGTTGGCCGATCAACTATAAGAGGAGGAAAAGGAGCCTGGAGCAAGCACTCACACTCTGGCTGGGCCTGTGGGACGCTCTACTAGGTTATGATGGAGCAATAAGCGCCCCCACCGGATACAAGCTACTTCCAGAACCATGAGCTGGAGAAACTGCTCCCCTTTATCAATTCCCCAGTTTCAGGTATTTTGTGATGGCAACAAAAAAAGTCCTAAGACACAAGCTAAGCCAAACAAGCACACAATCGCAGTAAGAATGTTACACTTCCCGAGAAGACAGAGCTTCCAGAAGATCCCTGTCTACTCTAAGTAGACTGCCGTCCCTCACCCTTCTTTCCTTCACCCATAGGTTTTCTAGAACTGTCAGTGCCAGTTCTCTTTGCCTTATTTGCTTCCAGCTCTTTATCTGCTCAACACTGCAAAACCCACTGAAAGAATTTTTTTGTACATTAAAATAAAGGCTTTCCTACCTTTTTGGAAGGATGAGTGGAACTGAGAAAGAAGGAACTGGAAGAACCATCTTTGCTCACAGAATTTTCTAGGCAGGTGGGCAGGCTAGAGTTGGTGTGTTTTTTTGTTTTGTTTTTTTTAAAATTTTTTCCCCCTGCTTTTTTTCCTCATTGTGACCTAAACTGAACCTATCAGGTTTCTTTCCTGTTTGTTTATTTATTTATTTATTTATTTATTTATTTATTGTCTTTTTGAGAGAGGGTTTCACTATGTAGTTCAGGCTGGCCTTGAACTCACCTTGTAGTGAAGGCTGGCCTCGAACTCACAGCAATCCTCCTGTCTCAGCCTCCTGACTGCTGGGATTGTGTGTGTGCCCCACAGCTGGCCTTTCCTGGGGTTTTTAAAGTTGTAGTCCCTCTCTCTGTTCCTACCGGGCAGGAAGCCTTACTGCTGCTGTTGACTCAGATTTCAAAACGGGGAGTAGGCACTGTTGCTGACAGGGAGAGCCATTGTCATGTAAGATGATAGCTCCCTGGGTTACAAGTATAGTTCAATGCCAGTGCACTTGTCTAACCTCTGAGAGGTCCTGGGTTTGATCCACTCCTTTCCCAAAAAACCCTCCTGACTCCAGAAGTTCTCTGACAAGGTTTGAAAAGTAGTTCTCAAATCTTGGGGCATGATCTTACCCCAGTAATGAGGTGAGGAGGAATTAGCAAGAGATGAAAGGCTCTGCCTCCCCCATCTTCCATCTTCCCCTCTAAGCCAAAGCTCTATACGTCAGCAGTTTGCATCCGGGTTCTGCTGGAAGCCCCAGTAATGCTAATACAACAGACTTGTAATTCGCCTGTCCCTCTCTGGTGGATGGACATTAAGGAGGACTCAGGCATGCCTGGAAGCACATAACCTGCAAGGGCCCTGCCACTTTCTGTGGGAAACACATTTCCCTGATCCCATTCTATGATTCAGCATAGCTGTCAATCACAGTACACCACAGTGTGTGAGGAAAAGGACATATGACCCAGATTTGGCCAATCATTGTGTCTTATTTCATCAGCCAAAGTGATTGGCCTAGGATTCAGACATGTGACCCAAGATGAGCCAACCAGAATCCTTGAAATTGGCAGGTAAGGAGATATAACTTTGAGAAGGAGACACTGAGAAGATGAGATGAGATGACGTTTTTCAGCATTACCGTATTGATGACTCCCATCATGGCTGCATATAAGAATCACACCCCCGTGCTTATTAAAAACACAGGTTCCCAAGGCAAGTGAAGAGGTTCAGATTCACAGGTGAGAA